AATATAACTAATTTGTTCATTAAAATTTTTAATAATAATTAGAAGAGTGTAAACACAATGGATGAATATTTATTCATTCTTTGATTTTTATATAATTGCATAAAATATAACTGCAAATAATTGTATACGTATATAGTAAAAATTACTTCAATTATTTATTATAAAACAATTTAATCACCAAAATTTAGAATTTATATTTATTAACATTAAAGTTATATTGAGATAATTAGGCCTATACAAGAGAATTGTGTTAGAAAGTCTTTGTGCTTAAAACCCAACAAATTTATTATATTATATTGCTTAATAATTTAATTTCATAAAAACATTTGAATAATAATTATTTTATAGACAACTGTTAATGCAAAGTTTAGCAGATAGAACCTTGAAAGAACCTAAAAACCAGTTGAAATATTTTTCACTTGAAATACTTGTCTATCAAAGCTTAAGGTAAGGATAATTATCTTAATTACTTACAAGTTAGATTATGTCAAACATTCTAAAGCCCATTTTTATCATGTGAAAAAATACTTTTGTGTAAAGATTAAAGTAATTAAGCGATGAGATTGCAAAATCCCACTATTAAGTGTGCACAAGATGTAAATTTACATATTAAATAGTAGTCATTGGCATGCATGACAAAACAATCTTAGGGTCTTCAGACTTTCAAAAATCGAGTATGGGAGAAAATGAAAACTTTACATTTAATTATTCATAAATTTATAACATTTTAAAGAATAACCTTACAAGGCACGCTCATGGTTGTAGTACTTTAAACATACTAACTGTGTTTTCAAATATGTTTTGGTAGACAAATTTACTATAATTGATTTGCTTAAATAAAACTAAAATTAAACTAGATGGAAATTTTAACTAGAACTTGACTTACAATAATCTTTCAAATGTAATGCCCTAAAGCATCATTACTTTTTTAAGTTTAAACTAGGACCGAATAAATTTTTCACAATCATTAATAAGAATGATATTGTCATTGTTCATTGAACTATGAATAGTAGCACTTGATAACTACTTTAAAATTATTATTAATGTATATAAACAGTATTCACTGTTCGATATTTCTAAAAATATCGATAATCGATAGTTAAATGGCAACTTTACAAGGATAACTTTAAACCTTAAGAAATGCAATTATGCTGCATTTAAGAGGGGATGTTTATATTAAATTAGAATTTAAAAAATTTTTTTTAATGAAATTTTGTTGAATGAAATTGAATTCCATATCCATGCATTTAATATTATTTTTCTCCCCATATTTTACTGCTTTTAATAGTATTATATTGGCCTAATATAAAAATACATTTTACCTCGTGAAGGTTAAAAAATTTTTATTTTAACAAATTTTCTAAAGAAATCCATTACAAAATAGGAAATTATGAATTAATAATTACCGTTTATAAATTGCTAAATCAAGTTATTGTGGCAACAGTTAATATTATTTATTATTATTACAAAATTAACTAATTTAAAGTTAATAATAACTATTATTCTTATTTTTATTAGAATAAATTATGATTTTCTGTACTTAAAATAATTTAAAACGTGTAATTATTGTAATATATCGTGAAATCTGATTCTTAAAACCATTAATTTAATTTATAAAATTATAAAAAAAATCACTAAAATATTTTATTTATTCAATGCTAAATAATTCAATTTTGTTCTTAAAAATACTATAGACTTCGCTTTACGACCGATCATTTTACAATCTACGACTTTATAAGTGATAATTTATCTGTTATAACTGTATCAAATACAATATTTTAGTGGATATTTTTGATGTTCACTCTATTTATATTACTAAAAACATTTGCAGGAACATAATCCCAATTGATAAAACCGATCTTATTGAAAATACGCTTTACGACGATTTTTCAGAAACCAATCGTTTTATTAAAGTTGGAATATAATGTAATTTGTAACTTAGATATATCAAAATATGCAACTAAACTTTAGATTTAATAGCTTATTTTATATAATTTAAAGTTTAAATATGATTTAAATTATTTTATAAAATTATTTCATATAAGCTTATAAAATAGTTCTATTTTAAAAATTCTTAGATTGATTTTTGCTAAAATATAATAATTCAACTTGCAATTAATAAAAATATTTATTTTAGATTTATAAAATATAATAAAATTTAAAATCTTGTATCAAAAAAACAGCGATCGCTCCAATTTAATTATTCATAAAAGGAGTTTAAGTTGTCTAAAGATCATACTTTTTTAAATATAAAATGTAGATAAAATAATAAAATTTTATCGTTAAAAAATGTATATTTAAAAGTACAAACATTTTTTTTAAGATTGCGCCATTTTGAAGCAGAAAATGAAATATTGTAATAAACTTCTTTCTCTTCGTAAAATTTTTACTTTATTGCTAAAATATTCTTGAGCAAGTTTAATGTCTAATTACTTTACTTTTGTTTATAATTCTAGGAATAATAATTTTCTAGTAATACATTTAATTCGAATTATTTATCTATCTTAACCCACTACCATTAGGATATTAACATCTGGCGACTTTGAGTTGGGGAGTGTCTAAAATATGTTAAATTTCGCAACGTATTGAGAAAAAATATTGTCTTCAAAAATGTTTAATTAATTTTTGTTGATCAAACCAATTATTTAAATGTTTTGCCTGCTTAAAAATGTTAAATAATGTTAAACCTCAGCGACTTAATTGATGATGATCACCCGATATAGTGAACAGTTTTTTGATCCTTTGTATATAGTGAATTTGTACTAAGTTCACTATATTGAGAGCCTATTGTATGGACTTTGGATATAGTGAATCCCTCAGAGAACACTTTAAAGTTTATTAATATAATTTATTAAGTTTCAATTTTTATTAATTAATTAAAGTTCGAATTAAGAAGCAAAAGATTGAGATTTTTACGGTTTTTATTATAAATAATTTTACAGGTTAGAAACCAAACTGAATATTTCTGTTTATATTTTGTTATATCAGACAGCATGTGATAAACAACTTATAAATAATTATTTTATGTTGTTGTTATGAAGCGAATAATTTTTTTTGTAAATACGATAAGAAAATTGCCTCCTTAAAATCAAAGAAGGAAATAAGATATTTTTCTAAAATAAATTTTTAAAAATAATAACTTTTAATCTTAAAATCATTATGTGTTAAATGAACTACTAAATATGGTAAAATTATAAATAATCACGTTTTCGAAATTAATGCTGAGTAATAGGCATTTATTGCCGATTGTTCCTAAAGGATACAGCATCTTTTATGACGTAGTAACGCCACTTCCTTCCATTAGATGGCGGTCGTTAGTAGTCACTTCCGGTTTTCCCGGAATTCGAAGGTGGAATTTTTATTCGAAATTACCGATTGGATGAATAATTTCTAACGAACGAATAAGATAGCGATTATAAGACGTCATCAAAATAATTTGAATATTTTTTAGGTTAATTTGAACATAAATTAACATTCGTTTTATCGATTAAGTTCAAATTAAAACTTTAAAAAAGTAACCAAACTTTATTTCTAGAATTTTTAATTTAAAAAAATATTAATTATTTGGCTTTTTAGAAATAAATTTTTATAAAATTTTCTGTTTTTTTTATAAGTTAAACAATTAATATATTAAATAATAAATTCGAAATGCTAAGGAAATTTCTCGTTAATAGCTAATAAAAGGCCTGATGATTTTTCCTCTATTGTGAATTGCTGTTTTAAAAGTATAATTAATTCTGTAAATATTAAAAAATATATTTTTAAACAGAATGAAATATTTTAAATATTGTTTTTTAAAGGAAAATATGTGAAATGTATGGTGATATTAAATTTTTTTTTTAATTCTATAGATTGTTTGTTTTTTAATTGAAACGTGCTGTTTGTTTCGAAAAATACCTAAAACAAGAAGTAATTTAATTTTTTTTCATGGAATATCTCATCATTTAAAGTATAGTTTTTACATCAAACTACTGTAATTACTTATTCAAAATACAAATAAAAAAAGGTGCCTCAAACTTAACCATGTTTTTGTGCACTTCAGAGACACCTGAGTATGAATTTACATTTTAAAATAATGTGTTTTTATTTATTTATATTTCATTGTGTTTCCACGGAATTTGGTGGAAAAATGACTATAAAAATAAATACTTCAGACTAAATTGCTGTCTTGTGTTTAAAGATAGTAAACTGATTTTTGGTCCATCCTGCATTTTATAAGTTTAACATGAAGAAAATATTTCAAAAATAAAAATAAATTTAAAAAGTATAACATCAATTTAGTAATAATTCAGGCTATATTTAAAAAGTTTGTCTGTTATATTAATGTTTAATAATAGAATTTAATAAAGGGTAATGTATTATAATATTTATTCATATCGATATTTTCATCAAGGATAAATTTTATTCATTATACTTTTAAAACAAAAATAAAAAAAATTAATATGATTTTACTAAAACTAAAGAGCAGGAAAGACAAGTTTAAACAAAAAATAGCAGTTTTAAAATTGTAATGTCACGATGAGTGTATAAAATATTAATATTTGATTTGGTAAAATATATGGTTTATGAAATATTCAATTCATTGTCTTTACAAAAAATACAAAGAAAAGTTCATTTACTAGCACAAATGGGTAGAATCTTTTGTGTTTTTGTCAAAAACACAAAGTCGAAATTGTCCTGTATAAAGGTAAATAAAGTTTTGAAGTGTTTTATATCCTGAACTCTTAATTAAAATTTCCTCATTAGGATTATTGTCTATAGTTTCCGGTATAAGCGGTCATCTAGATTTATATATTACACAAATTGATTATCTAGTTTGAGATGTAAGAATATTGCGCAATATAGAGGGCAACATTTTGATAGGGTGTTAAGAATTCTTAATAGTGAAATGACTTCATAGAAACCCTCTTACGTCTTTGGCCAATCCTTCAAAATGATGATCATACTTTTGCCTGGAGCAAAGGTCTTTGGTATGTGGCCAGGGAGCGAGGACGAGTAAACCAATGTCAAACGTTTTCTGATTGGTCGAAAGTTGAATATGTTATATTATGGTGGCTGCACAGCCGTTGCGAGCTCAGTTCCTCTTTGGATAAACCTGTTGTCGGTAACAGTGCTGTAGTAGGGTGAGTGTTATTGTTGTTAGATATTGAGTTAAACACAAGCAGAAATCTTATATTTTTTATTAATAGTGCTCATTTTTGTTAATTCAAACTTTACATAAGTTTATAAATATAAACCACTATTGTTTGATTTTGTTTGAAGTAAATTGTAACAGTTTATAACTAAAATATTTGCTTTTAATGGTTTATAATAATACTACTATACTATGTACTACACATGTGTATAATTTTATATATATAAAACTTTAATTTAGAAATTTTATTCAGGGAAAGAAAGAGCTTTGATAATAATAATGATCTATTTTCTGTTTTAAATTACTGTATTTTAGTATTTATTTCAACTTGATAATGACAGGAAGGTGCCTAAATTTTCAAAGATTTACCGTTATTATTACTTGTATACATATTTTATTTGTAAATTATTATATCCTAATTATGCCCAATTTAGGTAAAGTTTCCTCGTTTACTAGCTGAAAGCAAACTTTTGTAGTTGGATTTATTTATTTTTTAGTCAATATTTCATTTTTGGTAGCTGTTACTTTTAGGTATTTTACACACAGTACTTTGTATAGGTACTGACTGTACTTTGTACTTAGAAGTTATGTTTAGACAAAATGTAAAAAATTATGAAATAAAGTGCAAATATTGTTGTTTAGCTATCAAGAAACGCAATATTAGGTCAAAAAATTTAATATATTAGCCATTTGAATAATAATTTCAATCATTTATTAGGAGGAAAAATAGGTTTAACAATGCTTAATTTTATATAATATATATATTGTAGGCCTATTATAGTAAGGTCGCGGATCAAATATATGTCGCAAAAATACCTTTTATTTAATTATATGTTTTTATTATATAGAAAACATATTTAATATAATATACTTTTTTTTTACCATAGATCCGGCTTAAACCATAAGCATGGATCAACTATTCGGCAGTTTGAAGAACTTGTTTAAAGTAGATACTACAAATATAGATAACAATGTGTTTCGTATGCACTACAAACTAACAGTAGCTGCGTTGATTGCATTTAGCATATTGGTAACTGGTCGACAATATATAGGTGACCCAATAGATTGCATATCAAAGGATGATATACCCTCAGACGTTTTGGACACTTTCTGCTGGATCCATCACACTTTTAGTGTTGTCGACGCCTGGGAGAAAAAAGTCGGAGATGAAGTGCCTTATCCTGGTGTAGATAAATTTATTCCCGGTCAAAAGAGAGTTTTCCATGCCTACTACCAGTGGGTTTGCTTTGTTTTGTTTTTACAAGCTTTATTATTTTACATACCAAGATATTTTTGGAAAACAATGGAAGGTCACCGTGTGAAGAATCTCATTTTGGGTTTAAATTCACCAATTCTGCCTGAAGAAACTAAGAAAAATAACAGAAAACTCCTTGTGGAATATTTGGCCATGAATATGAGTAACAACAAAACCTATTTTTTGTCATTGTCTTTAGCCGAAGTTATGAATTTCGTTAATGTAGTAGGACAGATGTTTCTTATGGATAAATTTTTGGGAGGTGAATTTTCCAGATATGGCGTTGAAGTATTTAAATTTACCGAATGGGATTCTGATGTCAGATACGATCCTATGATCAGAGTCTTCCCCCGTTTAACCAAGTGTACCTTCCATAGATACGGTTCTTCAGGAGATGTCCAACGTCACGATGCCATGTGCATTTTACCTATCAACATCATCAATGAGAAAATTTACGTGTTCTTGTGGTTTTGGTTTGTAATTTTGGCTACCTTATCGGCTATGTCTTTGGCTTATAGAATGGTCACCATGGTATCTTTGAGGAGCAGATATTACATCACAAGATCTAGAGGACGTTTGGCAAACAAGGATTATTTGGAAGCCATAATTAATAAATGTGATCAAGGCGATTGGTTATTGTTAGATCTCCTATGCAAAAACTTGGATCCCTTAAATTTCAGAGATATCGTAAACGAATTAGCTCGAAAATTGGAAGGTAAAAGTTTTGACAGTGTATAATATAAACTATAAAATTTTTTTGAGTATTTTGAAAGAGAAATCTGCTTAAACTTTGCCATAATTAGTCCTATTAGTGTATGATGTTCATTAGGACTTGTGTAGTAACTTCGCTGCACAAATGAAGTTACTCATTTTGCGTTTAATTTATGTTCGATTTATGAAATAATTTTAAATCAAATAAGTAATTTTAGAATTAGTTTAATATTTTTTTTCCAAAACTGCCATTTTTTGACTCAATTGTAGAAGGTGACGCCTGGGCTCCTGTCGTTGTTTAGACAGCGGCTGACCCTGTTTTTTCCTCTGTTGACGTCCATGTCTTTGTTCCTTTCACGTATCAGAGCTTCTGGCGTTATTCGCTGGGTTCGGATGACCAAACTTCGTTGCCTTCTTGTTCATATTGTTAATGGGACCAAAATAAGTCTTCCGTAAAAAATTACCAATGTATTGTAATCATTAAAGGGACCAATTGAAGAATTTTGGGACCAATGAAATGGTATTTTTGTAACAAAGAAACTAAAATATTTTTATCGGAAAAGCGCTAAACATATTTTTTGACTCAGATTTATGTATTTTCTAAATATTTAGTAAACAAATTGATTAATAAAATTTTTTTTATTAAGTAATCTTTGTATCTTGTTTATATTTTTAATTTACACGAAATCTAAAGTAGACTTTGTAATAATAGTCCATAAACATCTGAATATTTTTATATTATTTTAAATTTTCCTGATAAATTAGGCATTTTTCTAATGAAAATAAAAAATTGTTACATAATGAGACTGGAATTCTCATCACGTTACATTGATAAAAATAACATTGTATAATGTATCAATAAGTAATGCTAACTGGTAGAATCTGTAATAATATAATTACTATCAACATATTGCAGTAGCTACTCCTGAATTTATTCAGTAAGCAGAACTTAGAATGAAGACATCACTCAGCCATGAATGTCCTATATTCGAGAATCATTTATTCTAAAATAGTTGAGTGTTTTATTAAAAAAAATCATTAAAAAATGAGGAAATATTAAATTTATATAGACGTGTATGTTATATAAACACATAAGACATTTTACTGATATGATACTGCTGAGAAACAAAGTCATATATGGCCTAGATTTTATCTCTCGAAGTCATTAGTCATAAATGACTTTAAAAACTACTCATTTTATAACTTACTTCTCTATCGATGGATAATTTAAAAATTTTTTATTCATCTCTATGAAGGTCATTCTTTAAGATTTCGGTCAGGCATGAAGTTCTTGCTAACGTAACAAAGTAGGACATAGCTTTGGCTTATAGCCATAAATTCGCCAATATTTAAATGAAGATTTAAAAATTTAAGTGCAAAAAAGGGTTTTTCTATTAAGAAAATGGCTCGTGTTATGTATTTTATAATTTTTATGACATTTTCCTCTTAAATGGTTTTTCAAAGGAGAAAAAAATTTTAATGAAGAGTGTTGACAATTTAATTACACATTGTTATGAAAATATTTGTTAAATAATGTATTGTAGGCCTATATTTAAAATTTGTATAACTTTACAGCAAGTCAGCTGTTGTATATATAACCTTAAATTATCAGTACCCTATGTGAAGAGTACCCAAAAAATCATCTCTACATCTCTTAATGTTGAGAAAATTTCGATCATTTGCAGATAAACTGCAGCAAATGATGATGATGATGCAATGGTCAGCAGCAAAATATAAATGTTTATAATTTCTTAGAAAATCTAAATTATGCTGTGAAGCGTGTTTTTCTTACTTAATTATTTTTAAATGATTTTCTTGTAAAATATTGACATTCGGATTTATAATTAATGATGATAGCAACAATTTTGTGCTGTGACCGAACGTATCAAAAATGACCTAGACTGTCTGCAGAAAACGAGTTTTACTTGTTGACCCGTCTGCCTGACCTTTCTTATCCATCCTACTTAATCACGTGATTCTTAACAACCTGCAAATAAGCTTACCGTGATGCTTAAAGCTTAGAAATTTCGTGCTTTTGTTCATTTTATGCGAAATAATCTTTAAAACAAAGATACCTCTTTAAAATTTTCATTTAACGTTCTAATTTCTCTTACATAGAAAAGAGGTTAGGAGTTATCAACAGTCTCTCCCGTCTTTTTTTATATGTATGACCTATTTTATGATTGACTAAATTGTTTTCCTCTTCTAAAACATTATTTTTACTTTTTCTCTTCTCCTTTCCGATAGAGAAAATTAGAATAAAGCATTGTTTATAACGCTAGCATTAGTGAATTAAATGAAAAAAATTACAAACTGTAACTGCCTTTATTGCTTTTGGAGTTAGTACTGTAGATCTGTCTGTTCGTTTACTATTGTCCCGTTGCGTTAAGTGGAAACAGGATATTGTATGAACTCTGAAAGCTAGGCGTCTACCAATTTAAAATTGAACATCACGTGAGTAGATGTAAAGGAAATTCTCAAATTTCCTCCAATAAAACTTATCAAAATCTCTGTGTTTTTGTCAATTCTTTATAATTTTATACAATTTAAAATATAAAATGTCAGCATTTAATTTTCTCTGATTTTTAACTGAACAATTTCTCCCTGCAGACATGAATAGGGTCTCCCCACGTGATGACTAAGAGCACAGAACAATAAGAATATACAAGCAGGTTTTTTTGCATAAAGATTACTCAAAAAATTACATATACGCTTCTAAACGTAATTTAATTTCGATAAAAGGAAAAAACGAAGGATAGGAGCTCAACCTTTCCTATTGCATCACATAAATAAAGGTGGATGTACACATGTTACAATCATTAGCACGCAAGTTCTAAATATAAATTCATTTCATATACATCCGGTTATTTATAGCAATTTTGTAGAATAAATGAACTTATATAATATAAGTACTACATATATGTATGTATAAAAACCACATTTTGATATGAAAAACATGCAAAATTCCTGTATCTACATACCGTAAGTACTGTACATATTTCATCCTATATCAGCATATAAATTGAATTAGGATCCAACGAATTGTATTATTATATTGCACAGATTTATGTAGTTAAGTTAAAATTAAATTTTGGAAAACAAAGAATGATTCATCACTTAATTAAATCATAATTTAACGTCGACTCATAAAGTTCAATTAGTGTAGTTAATAAAAGCAATTTCCTGAAGGGAGAAATCAGAATGATATAGAAAATGATACTAATAAAAGATATAAAGCTTATATTTTATTATAAATTATTCGTTTTTTCTTAAATTATATTATTATTTTTTACATTTACACTACTGTATATGACTTAACTTTCCTTGATAAGCGTTTACATCCGCTAATATCAGAATTAATCTATAGGAAAGAAGGTCATCTGACACGTCAGAAGGATATAATCGCATAATTTTCCTTAAAATGAATCCTTAAACAGTTAATTATAGAATTATTTTAAAATTAAAATTAAAAAAATTTACATTATTGAAAGAATAAAGCTCGAGCTCAAGATAAAATAACAATAGAGCATCCTTATATAGTTTACGAGAATAAAATTCCGATTTTAAAACATAGAAAATGACCTTGACATAAAGTGTTTAAAACAAAATATTTTGTCTAGAAAATTGTAACGGAAGTAAATCAATGGAAGCAATGAAGAAGAAACAGGAAGCTAAATGCAGCTAAAAGGTGTGGCGTATGGTTGGTCATTCTGCCGACCTTCTGATTGTTAGTGAATAATATTTTTATTAAGTTTATATATAGAGTATAATTCTTTTGTTTAACTTGATATAATTTATGTCTACTGCTCTGTTTATTATAAATAATCAACTTGGACACCTGCGTTAAATATACACGGTAAAATGATATTGCTAAAAACATCAGTATTTGTTGGCAGTTAATAGAACAACTTAATTCTATCAAAATGTAGAATTATCTAGAATATAATAGAATTTTATGTATTGAAATTCTATTATATTCTAGATTATTATCACTAAATTATATTTTATTGGTTTTATACATTTTAATACAAATTAAATGCATGCTATATGATTTTTAATTTATTAAAATATTCTAAAATATTTTAAAATGATATATNAATTATATATTAATTACACATCGAAAATTCTAAATATAAATTTATAAATATTCTTATTTTATCTATAATGTAAACCAAGAATTCATTTAATTTAACTATTTAAAAATCTCATCCAAATCGAAGTGCACCAACAAGCAATGAAAATATGACTTTGATACGAATTTTTGCATAGAAAGACAACCTCTGACCTAATAAAATATGTAATAGATGCAATCGTAAATAAGGCGTCAGAATGATAAAATTAATTATGAAATTAATTGAAATATTTCGAAATGAATATTACCTAATGTTCAATCATTGTGAGAACATCAGATGTCACAAGGATGTAAACTTTTTTGGAACGGATATAAAAAAATATCGATATTTATTTTTAAAAAATTGTTTTAGTTGCAGAAAAATAGGGTTTTAAAAAAATTTAAAAAATTGACATTTATTGACAAGATATTGTAGTAATGGGATAAAATACAGCATAAAAATAGATATTTATTAAAAACAAAGCGTTTTTATATATCATTTAAATGCGCTTTATATAAGTTCTACATGCACCGAACAGTGTAAAAATACTACAGGAATGTCTTACTATTGTTGCTTTTTAATAATGAAATAAATACTACAGATATTATTTTGATGAATATTTTTAATTAAAAAAATTAATTTTGGGCAATATGGCATGTTGCACGTATCATGTAAATTCTTCCTGCGTGCCATGTTGAACACGCATACCGCAGACTCCCTATCTTTGAAATACAGTAAAAGCTTATCAATCTTTTATATCTGATCGTTTTCATCAAAGATAATCCACAGATATCTTATTTGACGCTAACAGTAATTGATTTAAATGACTTATAAATGGCGTAATTATTTTCCTGAAGAATTTTGTTAAATGTCGACCCTCATCGTAATTGCACCTTGCGTAAAATAAAATTATGTGTTCCAGTAGCAACCTTCGCGTGTTAACAACCGACAAGAAGTTTGAATGCCTTTTGTTGCAATTTTTGCATAAATACAGGAATTCAGTTAGTTATGAACACAATAAAAATTGAAATATTTCATCTTAAAGCGATAAATAAATATCAATACAGTATTTTGATCCATATAATTGAATTTGGCTCCTGATCTCAGCTGATATATATGTAAAATACAATTTATCATTTTGTTTCATATTTTTTAAAATTTCTTTTATGATTTAAAAACAATTTCAGAACATTTTCAATAACTATAGACGAACAGAAGAAGCCACAATGATGTTGACTAGAAAGCACATGATACAATTTATAAACTATAAATTCTATGTTGCAATTGAAAGCATAATTTATCAAAAATTTTCAATTCGGTAGCATTTCTTCAACCATTAACGTGTTAACAGAAAAGATAATCAGGACCTTTCGCCTAGAGCATTACTAGACCACCTACGAAGCACATCTAATCTGCAGTTCCACTTTTATCAGTTAAAGACGTTTTTAACAATTCCCACATCTGTACATCATTATTTACAGTCCACAAAACTGAATCTTAATTAAAAATATTAATTATGCTTGTAAACAAGAATAACATTTCTCAGAAAGAGTGATTTTGTGGGATTTTGTTTACCAAAAATCTATTTCAAACCATAGGACTTCAGGCACTTCAGTCCATAATAGTTTGGAATATTCAAGGATGTAGCATAAATGCATTACATTTTGCAAAATGATACATTGCTAAATTATTTTTATATACGTTTCTATCATTTTTTCAGTACAAAATTAAACAGCAATATGTTTTATATGCAATATTGATAGTCACTTTGTATAATATAATGAACAAAGCTGATAAAGTAACATTATTTTGATTGATATAAACGAAATATTAATAATAAATCTCGAAATTAAGAATAATAAAAGTATAATCTAACATTCGTTAAATCAATATAAATCTACTCTAACATGAAAGATATTCATTTAATGACGAAATTTCAAGTGCGTGATGAAATTAATATTGTCAAGTACTCAATGACATACGGATATTATAAATATTTAGATACTGAATGAAGTAATTTGTTACGTAATTTATTAAGCATCACATGAACTGAAATTTATCATTTAAAAAAATCTATATTATCACTTTAATTAAATTTATAAAAATAATTATAATTTATGCATGTGTGCTGTTTTAAAATAAAATTAAGCTAAATTAACAATGAAGGGTGTGGTATTTTGCTTAGAAATTCTTTTTGGTCTCAGGTTAACACTAAGCAAACTTGTTCAAGTGTGACATTAAAAAGGACAACTCGACACATGCCAATGACCTAACTTGTAATGCCAAATTCAAGTCTAGAGCAGGTTATGTATACTATAATAGTATATAATTAAACTAGCAACTCTATAAAAACGTGGCAATTTTTATTTTAAAAACTATTTAGTATATTTTTATAAAATGCAATTCAAATTTGCTATATATATTTCATTTCTCTTCTATTGTTTACTTTATTCTCTTTATAAACATATTTATTTCTGTACTATTCTGTTATAGTTTTGTTTTATGCATGATAAATTTCAGCTGGATGAGCTAAGTAAATGAACTGTGCAATTGCACTGTGAAAAAGTTCATTTACATATATATGAAAGTTGTAAAGTTAGTATCTTTGAATACCTATCATTTTTTCAGTACAAAATTACTGAAAAAATGATTGAAAGGAAAAAAGTCTTAAATACTTTTTTCCTTTCCTACAATTTAATATTTCAAAAATTTTATTATTATTGAAGCAAAATTATATGCATTATCTTCTTTTATATATCGAGGAACCTGAAAATTAAGCATTAACATTTGTAAAGAATAAAACTCTACCTTATTAAATAATTTATTACATACAAACTGCAAAAATCTCTGAATTATTTGTAAAAATGTGTTAATCTGACTTTTGGACCATCCTATATACAATAATAATATCTTCGTGAATAAATTTTCTTGTAAATGTTTAAAAAATGATGTAACTATAAACTATAATAAACACTTATTTATCTGCAAATACAGTTTGCATTTATTGTATGTAATCTTAATACTTTTTCTAAACATCTATCATGCAGGCCAGGATATCCTAACAATCCACTATGAGCATATTAAATGCAGGATGTGGTTATAAAGGATACTTCTATGCTATATTGTGGATAGTTTATGTACATTATAAGCAATTTATAATTATGGCAATATTTATTACATTGTTCTTGAGCCATTTTATTAAATAAATGATGAGCTAGACATTTTTACATGATAATGAATACTACATTTTAAATATTGTATTTATCATCATGTAATAAAGGGATGTAATTAGTTACTGAAATGAAACATAACTTATGGTAATTTGATATTTTTCTTTTCTGGTAAAGTTAGTTTTTCCAATAACGAAGGAGGGCAACTACCTCCCTATGTGAAAATCACCCTTTGAATACAATTTCCTACGACGTTGATCGCTCATGCATACAATTACTACTTCACATGTTTGTAATGATTGTTAATGCATATTTTATTTTTAAATTATTTATGAGTTATACTATTAATCTAGAAGTATCTTAATATAACAAATCATTATAAGAATACGAAACGGATGACTTCGTATAGGAATTCGCTTCATTTTCTAATCAATGAACAAATTGCTGGAGGCTGAGGATAATCTGAAGATTGAAAACAAAAGATTGCAAGGATTTTTTATATATACTTTGTTTATCAATATATAAATTGTTTTTCTTTTATAGAATATAGGTTTGCATTTTATATTTCGTTCAAAAATAGATCTAAATTGAATCTAAGGAAAGATCTAATAAAAAGAGAAATGATTCAAAATAATGTTATCCTGGTTCAAAATACTTTATTTTAATAATTTTTCTGAACTAATCTTGTGTAAAAAGGAAGGAATTAAATCTTTTTATTTGTTTTATTCCATTATTAGATATAATTCAAAAGATTCTTTGTTCAAACCCTTTAAATTCCTTTTTGTCTTTAAGTGGATAAAGCCAGAAATGCCTGAAAAACACCATTTGTAAAGGAACTAAACCCTTGCGAGTCAAACGTCAACAAACTTTGAGTGATTTAACATTAAACATACGCAAGTAGTTAAGTAAAACATTAAAAATACATTAAAATTTCCAATTAAAAGCAAAAAATAAAAATTTTTAAAATTTTCTGTTATTTAAACTATTGATTACTTTAAAGCAGTTTGATTTATATTTTTATTTATTTTATACTCAAAATTAATCCTGTCAAAATAATAATTATTTATTGGAAATATAATTAATTTTTAAAATTTTAAAATTATAATTATAGAAAATATTTTCTTTAGACTCAAGTTTAATGGTGTTTTTACTGTTTTATTAATTACTGAAGTTGAATGTCTTTCATTTAATTCTTTATTATAAAATTAATAAGAAAAAGAAATACACATTAATGTTATTTAATAATAAAATTAAAATTTACTGACAAATTGAATAAAATTAAAATTTCTAATTAATTTTATAGAAAAATAATTAAATATTAAATTTTAAGGCGAAATATTAAACCAATAAGATTTAATCAACTTTAAAATATTGATATAATTAATAACTTAAAAATTTATAGTTAAATTAATTAAAAATTACATTTTAAAAACATTAATTTGTATTTTAAAATTAAGAATATTCTACAACAATTATACCATAAACAATAATTTTTGTATATTTTCTATAAAAATTTTTATACAATTTTGATTCCAAAAAAAAAGCAATTTATTTTTTTATTTAATTTTTAAATAAGTAAATAAAGAATAGAAATATAAATTTTATTAAAATAGACTAACTTCTTGCATCTGATAAATGTAATGCTACGTGAAATTTAAGATTAATCCTTCAAAAATTTGACTGTTATTCTATCGCCACTCGTTTCAAGTAAAGGAAAAAAAAAGTGAAGTAATGATGCATTATAGCCTTTCTTAATGAGTAATGTACTTGTTCGTAGGAAAGGATTATGTTACAGAAAGACGTAATATTAAAAACAAACTGAGTGATTTATGAAGAATATAAAAGTCTGTCCACTTCTACTTTAAATTAAAGGTGAACATGTATTTATCACGTTTATGTTCTATAGAAATTCGTAAGAAATATATCCTTGTTTCCTTTTCCTTTTCTTTTTCAAAAAAGTATGTTTTAAAAGTTTCTAAACGCATTATTCAATAATAAATACTTCGTTCTTTCATATTTCAGTCTGTAAAGTTAATATGTAGAAGTCCATTTATATATATGTGTATAGGGTGTGGCAAAAGTCAGTTTACCATTGTAAAGATTGAATTTTTTTTCTTATTCAAATGCTTACAACCTTTGTAAAAATTATTGAATTGCTTACAAATAATATGGTTAACTGAGTTTTTGGACCACCGTAAAGGTCTTCCTATTATACAAATTTTTTATATATATAAGTAGAATGAAGACATCACTCAGCCATGAATGTCCTATATTCGAGAATCATTTATTCTAAAATAGTTGAGTGTTTTATTAAAAAAAATCATTAAAAAATGAGGAAATATTAAATTTATATAGACGTGTATGTTATATAAACACATAAGACATTTTACTGATATGATACTGCTGAGAAACAAAGTCATATATGGCCTAGATTTTATCTCTCGAAGTCATTAGTCATAAATGACTTTAAAAACTACTCATTTTATAACTTACTTCTCTATCGATGGATAATTTAAAAATTTTTTATTCATCTCTATGAAGGTCATTCTTTAAGATTTCGGTCAGGCATGAAGTTCTTGCTAACGTAACAAAGTAGGACATAGCTTTGGCTTATAGCCATAAATTCGCCAATATTTAAATGAAGATTTAAAAATTTAAGTGCAAAAAAGGGTTTTTCTATTAAGAAAATGGCTCGTGTTATGTATTTTATAATTTTTATGACATTTTCCTCTTAAATGGTTTTTCAAAGGAGAAAAAAATTTTAATGAAGAGTGTTGACAATTTAATTACACATTGTTATGAAAATATTTGTTAAATAATGTATTGTAGGCCTATATTTAAAATTTGTATAACTTTACAGCAAGTCAGCTGTTGTATATATAACCTTAAATTATCAGTACCCTATGTGAAGAGTACCCAAAAAATCATCTCTACATCTCTTAATGTTGAGAAAATTTCGATCATTTGCAGATAAACTGCAGCAAATGATGATGATGATGCAATGGTCAGCAGCAAAATATAAATGTTTATAATTTCTTAGAAAATCTAAATTATGCTGTGAAGCGTGTTTTTCTTACTTAATTATTTTTAAATGATTTTCTTGTAAAATATTGACATTCGGATTTATAATTAATGATGATAGCAACAATTTTGTGCTGTGACCGAACGTATCAAAAATGACCTAGACTGTCTGCAGAAAACGAGTTTTACTTGTTGACCCGTCTGCCTGACCTTTCTTATCCATCCTACTTAATCACGTGATTCTTAACAACCTGCAAATAAGCTTACCGTGATGCTTAAAGCTTAGAAATTTCGTGCTTTTGTTCATTTTATGCGAAATAATCTTTAAAACAAAGATACCTCTTTAAAATTTTCATTTAACGTTCTAATTTCTCTTACATAGAAAAGAGGTTAGGAGTTATCAACAGTCTCTCCCGTCTTTTTTTATATGTATGACCTATTTTATGATTGACTAAATTGTTTTCCTCTTCTAAAACATTATTTTTACTTTTTCTCTTCTCCTTTCCGATAGAGAAAATTAGAATAAAGCATTGTTTATAACGCTAGCATTAGTGAATTAAATGAAAAAAATTACAAACTGTAACTGCCTTTATTGCTTTTGGAGTTAGTACTGTAGATCTGTCTGTTCGTTTACTATTGTCCCGTTGCGTTAAGTGGAAACAGGATATTGTATGAACTCTGAAAGCTAGGCGTCTACCAATTTAAAATTGAACATCACGTGAGTAGATGTAAAGGAAATTCTCAAATTTCCTCCAATAAAACTTATCAAAATCTCTGTGTTTTTGTCAATTCTTTATAATTTTATACAATTTAAAATATAAAATGTCAGCATTTAATTTTCTCTGATTTTTAACTGAACAATTTCTCCCTGCAGACATGAATAGGGTCTCCCCACGTGATGACTAAGAGCACAGAACAATAAGAATATACAAGCAGGTTTTTTTGCATAAAGATTACTCAAAAAATTACATATACACTTCTAAACGTAATTTAATTTCGATAAAAGGAAAAAACGAAGGATAGGAGCTCAACCTTTCCTATTGCATCACATAAATAAAGGTGGATGTACACATGTTACAATCATTAGCACGCAAGTTCTAAATATAAATTCATTTCATATACATCCGGTTATTTATAGCAATTTTGTAGAATAAATGAACTTATATAATATAAGTACTACATATATGTATGTATAAAAACCACATTTTGATATGAAAAACATGCAAAATTCCTGTATCTACATACCGTAAGTACTGTACATATTTCATCCTATATCAGCATATAAATTGAATTAGGATCCAACGAATTGTATTATTATATTGCACAGATTTATGTAGTTAAGTTAAAATTAAATTTTGGAAAACAAAGAATGATTCATCACTTAATTAAATCATAATTTAACGTCGACTCATAAAGTTCAATTAGTGTAGTTAATAAAAGCAATTTCCTGAAGGGAGAAATCAGAATGATATAGAAAATGATACTAATAAAAGATATAAAGCTTATATTTTATTATAAATTATTCGTTTTTTCTTAAATTATATTATTATTTTTTACATTTACACTACTGTATATGACTTAACTTTCCTTGATAAGCGTTTACATCCGCTAATATCAGAATTAATCTATAGGAAAGAAGGTCATCTGACACGTCAGAAGGATATAATCGCATAATTTTCCTTAAAATGAATCCTTAAACAGTTAATTATAGAATTATTTTAAAATTAAAATTAAAAAAATTTACATTATTGAAAGAATAAAGCTCGAGCTCAAGATAAAATAACAATAGAGCATCCTTATATAGTTTACGAGAATAAAATTCCGATTTTAAAACATAGAAAATGACCTTGACATAAAGTGTTTAAAACAAAATATTTTGTCTAGAAAATTGTAACGGAAGTAAATCAATGGAAGCAATGAAGAAGAAACAGGAAGCTAAATGCAGCTAAAAGGTGTGGCGTATGGTTGGTCATTCTGCCGACCTTCTGATTGTTAGTGAATAATATTTTTATTAAGTTTATATATAGAGTATAATTCTTTTGTTTAACTTGATATAATTTATGTCTACTGCTCTGTTTATTATAAATAATCAACTTGGACACCTGCGTTAAATATACACGGTAAAATGATATTGCTAAAAACATCAGTATTTGTTGGCAGTTAATAGAACAACTTAATTCTATCAAAATGTAGAATTATCTAGAATATAATAGAATTTTATGTATTGAAATTCTATTATATTCTAGATTATTATCACTAAATTATATTTTATTGGTTTTATACATTTTAATACAAATTAAATGCATGCTATATGATTTTTAATTTATTAAAATATTCTAAAATATTTTAAAATGATATTTTTATGTAAACCTTGAGGGTTAAACAAGCGAGAAGAACTCAGTTATTATGTTTTTTTAAAACTTGTATTCAAGTTCAACGAATTGTAAAATATCAAGGAAAATAAAAAGAAATGTATTACTGTATTTCTCTTTTATTTTCTTCGATTTTGTTTCAAATTAAATAACAATAAATTTTAATTATTGAACATTGAAGTAGCAAAGCTCTTTCTACAGTACATAAACAACAGCAATTTATAAATATTTAGGGATTACCTTTCTTTGAGGGTAAAATATAATAGACTCATTTAGAAAAAGTATTATAAAAATTTAAGTCTGGTGCTTATAAAAAAATAAAAACACAAAGAAATGCTTTATGCCTTCTGAATAAATAAGAAAATTACAAGAGAAACATATACAAAGTATCAACAAAAGATCCTTTAGCAAAACCTTATTCTTTGTTAGACCAGTTCCAGAAACTTGCCCTTAAGGTTACACAGTTCAAAGGTCACGGGGAAGAATTGTGCCTTAAAACACGTTGTTTGTTTCAAAAAGTATGCTGAATGTGAAAAGAAAAAAGAAATGAAAACGCTTTTCAAACAAAGAATTAACAATTCCGAAAATAGGAATTTGTTCTAATCATTATTGGTTAAGATAACTAGAGTAGAACGCCAGAAGGAAAAAAATTTGGAACTTTTCCGTCATTTATTTTAGTATGAAAAAATGGTGCATGTTGACAATAAACATAAAATTACAAACGTAAAGTATTTAGTTAATGGTGAATTTAAAATTGAAAATACAGTATCTCCTTATAGTTCAAGGAAAATCTAGAACAATTGTTAGGTATGACTAATGTAAGAATACAAAATAACAGTCATTTGCATGAATGTTAGGACTGATATAGATTAATAAATGATACGACTTGGTGATATACACAAAAAGTATGTTAAAAGTATAAATGGCTATATAATTATTAAAGAAAATAGAAGAAATTCAGAAAAGGATTTATGCAATCATTTTTCTTACAAAATCACACTTAAATTTACTTTAGAATGCATTTTATAATGCAATAATTAAATTAAAAACTTGAAATTTAATTTTCTGATTTAAGTTTGATTTTGATAAGGTTTAGAATAACGATGTTTTCCATTTTGATTAAATCAGGAAATCAAAACTTAATAACTCGTTTTTAAATATTGATTTTACAAATTATTTTCTTGTTTTGTAAATTATTATATACAGTTGCCATTCATGCTTTTTTTTTTTAATTTCTTATTATCATATCCACGATAGATTATGTCACTCTAAATTTAGTTAACAGAAACAATATGATCGTAAACAACACGATTTTCTATTAACAGATTATTGTTCTTAATTCTTTCTCTTATAATTATGACATAAAATGTAGGAAAAACACAGGGTACTACCACAATGGTATTGTTTATGCAACATTAAAATTAAAAAGTATGCTTAGAAGTTTATTGAACTAGAAGAGAGGCCCTGAACATTCCCAAGAACCCAGTAATAAAACCCAAAAGGAGCCTCATTGAACGTGCATACCTTCACGTAGAAGATTAGGGTTTTTGACAATAGTGATGGATTAGAATTTAAATGATTTTTAGAAGACAAAAAAAAATTTCGGAGGAAGGAGGCAAAATCATTACCTGAGCTCGAAAATAACAGAGGAATCATCAAGTGGGTTGTTTTCATGATAGCTATAAGATATAGATAAAACAGTTTTCTCATTGAGATCTTAGCCAAAGATCATGATTAGAATTTTGAATTAACATATGATTAACATTTCTAGTTTTTACTTCTAATTTTAGTTTTGTATTGTTCAGACCTTTATTTCATCATAGGCCTCTTAATACATGTCGACCTTGTTCCACTTTTGTAAAGACAACAATAGAAGGATCCCACGTGAAATTCTGACTTTAATATGAAAGCCTGTTTGCAACTTTCATATTAATCAAGTTATCGAGATCAAAAATGAAACGAACGAACGAATGAATTATGAATAATTATAACAGAAAATGATTCTAACAAGTGAGAAACGGAACCAGTAGTAGTATCTCCCCCTACAAAAGCAAAACAGACTCGTCTAGTGACGTCAGATGTACGTTTCATTCGTTCCTAACCGACTGAACAGGAGCCAATAAGAGCAAAGCATCGGTTGTAAGAGGCAAGCACAGTCTATTCCAAAGAAGGTTGAAACCGAGTTATGTTTTGACAAAGAAGATGGATAAAATTTTAGGTTCTCTCAAAGGAATTTTGAAGATCAAGAGTACAAATATAGACAATAGAGTATTTTGTTTACATTATAAGTATACAGTAGTTATTCTTTTAGCATTTAGTATTTTAGTGACAAGCAAACAATACATCGGAGACCCAATCAATTGTATATCAAGAGATGATATTCCATCGAAACTTCTAGATTCATTTTGTTGGATTCATGGAACATTCAGTGTTGTTGATGCTTGGGAGAAAAAAGTAGGAGAGGAAGTTCCATATCCAGGTGTTGACAAATACGTCAAGGGTCAGCAGAAAGTCTATCACACCTATTATCAATGGGTATGTTTTGTATTGTTTTTACAAGCTTTACTATTTTACATTCCACGATATCTATGGAAAATTTGGGAAGGAGGAAGAATAAAATCGATACTTTTAGAATTGAACGCTCCCATTATGGAGGCAGAAAAGAAAACAAAAAGAAGAGAGATTTTAGTCGAATATCTTATGGCAAATATGGATCAGCACGGTGTTTACGTCCTACAGTTTTTTCTATGCGAAATCCTTGCTCTTATAAATGTCATTGGACAGATGTGCCTTATGGATAAATTTTTAGGAGGAGAATTTACAAGCTATGGCACAAAAGTCTTACAGTTTACCGAATGGGACCACAGTGTCAGGTACGATCCAATGATAAGAGTGTTCCCACGTCTTACTAAATGTACTTTCCACAGATACGGATCTTCGGGTGATGTCCAACGTCATGATGCCATGTGCATTCTACCAGTGAATATTGTCAACGAAAAAATCTATGTGTTTTTATGGTTTTGGTTTATTATCATAACCACATTAAGTTGTTATATTTTGATATATCATATTGTGTTATATTTCATGCCATATTTTCGTTACATAGTTTTGAAGGGTAAAGCTAGAATGTCAAGTTCACAGCATATTGATATAATCGCACAAAAATGTAAAATGGGAGATTGGTTTATTATAGAATTACTTGCCAAAAATATGGATCCAATCAACTTTCGTGATCTTGTAGCCGATCTGGCTAAGAAAATTGAAAGGAAATCTGCGGAAATTGTTTAGATTTTTGTACTGATTATTTTCTTTTGTATTCTTTAGAATTAGTTTTCAGTATTATTTTTCTTATTTGTATTCCAGTTATGTATTTGTATTAACTTTGGTGACCAGATATTGGATAAGAAAATATCATAATTTTATGGTTTCTTGAATTATACAATACAGTAGTATAAAAATTTAAAATTGATAATGTATGCCTAGTGTTTCATACAAGTTATTAATTTCTGTTAACAAAATAATCGTTGACCAACGAATATATATATATGTATATATATTTTTTATAAACAATAGCTGGTCACTGAAGTTCGTTATCAAGTCTCATCAACTGTGCCTAGCTTAACAGGATATGATAAATGAGAAGACATGTGGTTCATTGTACGTCTTGTGACATTTCATGCAGAGATATCCTGTAAAGCTTTTTATTTAAAGTTAGTGATGTTCTATATCTATTATAGTATTTACATTTTTTTAAACGATATTTTTGATATCTTTACAGTATACAAATATTTTTTTATGTGTAATGTATTATATGGAATGAATTCTGTGTAAAATTTTGAATGGTGACATCGAATTTCTACAAGTATTAACACTGTTGTGCCTTACTGACAAAATTATTTTAATCAAATTAACTAATTGGTAAAAATTTTAGAGGAATGAAGTAGAATATTTTGTCAAGATTTACTTCATCTAATAACGAGGAAAACTGATGTTAATCTACGTCAAAACAAGGATATGTAGCATATGTACAAGGACACTAGTATGATGTATTCCTCTTTATGCTTAATCTACCAAAGTTATCCTCAAATATTATGGGTATAAAATTCCGGTATAAAACAGTATTATAAAAATTCATTCCTGAAAATAATAAGAATTAATTTTTATAAGATTTTATATCTTTAATAATGTATTTATACTCTGTAAATTTTTGAAAATTTTACCAAATGTCTTTACTCAATAGGAAAAGTGTAATTAGTAATCATAGTCTTTAAAATTTTTATGTATTGTAAATTTTACTTTACTTCTTCAACTGTACTTAGAATAACTAAGTAAATGAATGCCTTAAGGGTAAATCCAGTTCCCCGAATTTTCACTACAGGAAATGTGGGAGATAGAAGTGACAGATGATACCTCACCAACACTTTTAACTCCTGTGGGAAGTACTGATGTCACTGCTACAATAACACCATATTTTTACACACTTAGAAACTTATAAAATTAATTTTGTATTATCCGGAATGAAAATTACAGGATTAAAAAATAGCTCAATGTTAACATTCCCTTAATAATTGTAAGAATTTTGCTATTTATAAATATTTTAAGTTCCTATTTTTTAAATCTACAGTATTCAAATTATGTGCTTTTTTGATATGGGACCAATTTTTTGACTTAAAAATTGATTTATGTAAAAGCATTAATTGACCAAAGAATAATTTTGTATTCTGAATGGACAAAATAATATAAATTTTTTTAAAAAATTACTTTGTTTGAGTATTTATTACATATACTGTTTAGAAATAACATTATAACATACACGATCCTAAGGTTACAGTTTTAACTTTAAGAAATAATTAGAAAAATGAATACTGAAATTTACTCTTGGTTGGAATTACAGTATACTTTTAGTCCTGTGTAGAAGTAAATTTCTTGTAAATTAATTAATAAATCTAGGAAACAATTAATATAAATAATTTAACAGAAAGAAATATATTGATCTTTAAATATAATCATGGCAATTTTTCTAACCAAGGTCAACTACATAGAGATTTTAAAACTAGATTCCTATCTATTGTATCATAACAGACTTCTAATTTAATATAGGTGAGATGGAATTTCTCAGCAAGATCCTATATTGATGCTAGATATCATTCTCAATTCAAGGTTATGATTCATTAGTTGTACAATTTAATAATGTAATTAATTCTTTTAAAAAAACTAGACTTTACCTTGAATTCTACAATAAATTATAGTATCAGTGGAAATTACTTGTAATATTTTAGATTGTTCTAAAAACTATATTAAGTAAAGAAATAAACTGCCTTAAATAGTTTATAATAAAAATATTTTAGTACAGGATAGCCCAAAAGTCAGTTAACCATTTTAATGACTAAATTTCTGTTTTATTAGATACTTTATTCCTCAATTAACCACAAAAATGATTCAAATTAGAAAATTTTTACAACCAAATTGATGTATTGCTTGTGGGAAAAAACTTATGTGACTTTTGGGCCAATTTGTATAGTAAAAAATAATTAATTTTCTAATAAATTATTATTATTTTTTAATTTCTATTTCATTACAAATAATTTTATCAACAAATCTTAAATTTAGCAACTTATGAAAAATTATCTGAAATATAAAATATACATTTTAATTATATAATAAAAACCTCATAATTATGATTTAGTAGATTTTAATAAATATATTAGCAAATAAAGTGGATAACCCATATAATTTTAAAATATAAACTAGAAAATGATAAAAACTGGTTCCTAACAATTTTATAAATGATAAAATAGAGAATGATTGATATGCTCGCACCTTTCGACATCAGGCCTTATGATAACATTCGAGCAGTTAGTGGAAAAAAGTTTATTTAAAATGATCTTTAACGATGTACAACAAATGACTTTTATTGAAGGTTAAAGGTCGTTTTCTAGTTAGTATACTTAAATGTTTTTTAAAAAGTTTGATTGATTTTCTCTTGCATAATAATAATAATAAAATGTTTATAAAATTCAGGTTTTACTTTTAATAACAGAAGGTTAAGGTTTATCAGTAGGTTTTCCATCCCTTTCTATTCCATAGATTGTATCTTAAAAAAAATTAAATCTGGGGCATTTATTCAATACATAATAACAATAATATCTCCTGCTTTGATTCTATTAACTTAAGTAACATTTATAATTCAAGAAATATCCTAAAGTAAACTAACTTTTCACTATTCAACCCCAGTTATTGATATTTTTCACTGAAAATTGTTAATAACATAAACTACAATTTTTCAATTAATTAATTAATTTTTTATTTATATTTTTCCTTAAGTGAAGGGACAAGGACAGAGTTATAAAATTTTCTTAAAAATTTTATAATCCTAATCCCTTCCATTCCTCGTTAATATCTTCTTATTCAAATGCATTGAAAATTTAAACAAGATTTTACATAAATAAATAAATTAGAATTTAAACCTATTAATCATTTACTCAAGACATATTCAATTACTTAACTTTAAAGAATTTATCAATATTAATGTTAATATATATAATTTAGACCTATATGATTTTATTGATAAATAATTTAAGGACAAATTAATTTTTATTTTTAATTTATAAGAAAACTGAATAAAAGCTTTTTATTTATTATTATTATTATAAAAGAACCAAAATGCAATAGCTTAAACGGTGTTCGTAGTTGCGAGGTGTTAGACAATAAACATGATTAAAAGTTACGAAATTCAATTCTATAATAAAAAGCTTTAATTATATACAAATGAAATATAAATTGCGATAATTTAGTGACCTTCATACCTTCTAATCAAAGGCATTTCTGTTTTAATTTTTGATAAATTAATCAGAAATTCTGAACAGATCTTGTTCAACTTGTGAATAATAAATAAATGTTTAGAATAATTTTTAAATAAAAAAAAATATATTTTTTCAAATGATTAAATAGCATAAGAACAATTATATATTAAGTAAAATGAATTTAGGAATAAAATAATTAAAATTTAATGGAAAAATCTAGAAAAATTTTTAATAAATTAAAAGCATATGATAAGGAAATAATTAAGTGATTTAATAAGTAAACTATATAATTTTTAATTTAAATTATAAAAATACATTTAATTAGATTAAGTAGCCTACTTATGTATAATTAAGTAAGGAAACAAGTTAGTATTGTTTTCTATTTTACTTTTTATTTAAAGGTAAAAGTAAAAATATAATATTTATTTTTACACTTAAATTACTTTAATGAAATGTAACACTTACTTAACTTAACATAAAAAAAAAAAAAATTGTAGTTATATCAATGACTTCCTGAGATAACTTTAAATATTTTACTTTTCAAAAATCATTAAAAAACACGAAGGTAATTGAGTATTGAGAAAATTAACCCAGTAAGAATGGTGCAAATTTAATAAAAATAAATAAATTAAACTAAAAAATCAAATGATCATTTACTTATAAAATTATATTTATGACTTTTCAAATTTTTTAAAATGATAAATGGAAATAAGAATGAATAGGTGTTGAAAAAATAACCTAGAAAGAAAAATACAAATGTAATCTCATAAAAATTACATCTATGACTTCCTCAGAAGATAACTTGCACCAGTACATAGCAACTTGCAGAAAGGTTGTTCCTATGCTCTCCATTTCTAAATGTATAAGCAATTCCAACACTGCTACTTTTTGTCAATGCCAATGCTGCTTTCCAGAATGCAAAGGATTAACTACTACTTAACTACTTGTGGAGTGTATCTATACAGTAAATTGCATTAGTGAAATACGAACAGCACTTTTATAGATGAAAATTTTTGAGTTTGAAGTGTTTTTACCATGTCACCATTCATATATTTGAGCCTATGTGAGAACATGCCAAAGGGTACATTGTTGATGGGAGTGAAAAGTGTGAACTGAAACTATTAACTGGATATTTTAAATAACTATCTAAGATGTATTGAATATAAATTGCATGCAGAGAATTCCACCGGTACTGAGAGGGCTATGATACGGTTTGAGACAATGATCTTTTATATTTTAAATTCAAATTTTATGCCTAAAATGCCATTAAAATTTCTCATGAAGGCTATCTGTTATCAAATAAAATATTTCANAATTAGTTTAATTTAAAATTAAGTTTATATCATTAAAAATTAATATAACACTCTTCTTCAATTTATCGTGTTATAAATATCAAAAATCTGTTTTAACTATAAATATGCTATAAAATGTAGTAAAATGATTAAAAAATAATTTAAAATTTAACATTTTATTAAAACAGCGGAGTTCTAATACCTGAAATTTTGCTGTTCTGGTTTAACAACTTTAAATTTTCTGTGACTTGTATTCTTATATATGAGTGCTTGGTAATAACATTATTTATTCTATTTAAAAAATTTGATTTATTATATCAAACATTAATATTTCTGAATGACGGCATGACCTATATGTAAATATAAAGTTTACATTGATTCAATGGGAATGGTAGCAAATTAAACATAAATAACATATTTAAGAAAAAGTATCATATATTTACTAAGAATAATTTACAAATTAAAGAATTTATTTTAAAAATAGAAATTTGAACGGTCAAAATGCGATACGACTCAAAGCGATCTCTTATAAAGTAGAAGGGTTGAAATTACTATGAAACTTGAAGCGAATTCTCGTAAAGAGTTTAAAATATGGATCGACTAGATGCTATTTCTCCTCCAATAGAAGCGTTAAAATATGATGTGGCTTGAAGCGATTTTTCTCCAAAAGAGGCGTTAAAATATGGTTATACTAGAAGCGATTTGTCCACCAATAGAAGCGCAAAAACACAACGCGACTTGAAGCGACCTTTTATTATAGGGAAACGTTGAGGAACTTGAGTTTGAGCGCGACATGAAGAAAAGATAAAGTAACTAATAAATTTCATTGGATATTATTAAAATTTTGGAAATTAATAAAACTCATTTTATAAATAAAACAAATTCGTCATACTAAAATAATTTTTACTTAGTAAAACTTTATAATAAACAGAATTTCTAATCATCTAATCGTGACTAACAAGATTCAACTAACTTCACGAATTTATCAATATAAGTCACGATATTGAATGTTTTCGTGATTATTATATTTTATGCATATAAACTACTTATTATGAGAAAATAAAAATTTAAGCTGGTTATGGAAATAATCATTTGCATATAATTGCAATTAAATTCTAATAAGAAAAATATCGTTTTATTGTAGAAGCAATTCTTATCAGGGCTCATGTTACTTTAATGAAATATTTAAAATTTTACTGATAAAACATAGATAAACAATGGTAGGTTTGATATTATTTATAAATAAATTAAGAAAATTTTAACAAAATTATACATTTTGTACAGAAGAAATTGTGATATAGAAGCATTATCCTGGAAATTTTTAATATTGATTATATCAATTATAAATAAATAAATACAATTAAAAAGCCAAACTTAAAATTGTATGGTTCTAATAATTACAGAGCAGATTATTCACAGTTGTTCAGTGTGGCCACAAAGTCTATAAGCGTGAGGTTGTGTCCCGTGTTTTCCCCAATTAGGAAATGTCACAACGACACATTCATAGGACATGATACGTTATGACCTCCTCGAAGTCCAGATTTTTAACATGCGGCAATTTGCTTTAGGGCATTGTGAAACAAAATTTCTCAATTTTGCCTTATTACACTTACAGGAAACCAAAAAATAACAACTATAGGAGACTGTGTTCTGTTCTTTCTGCTCCTATTTCTGTTATATAAAGTTGTATAATTAGAAAATAGGTCCAAGTGAAAATTTTAGCAAAAACAAAATCAGATTATTAAAGGAATAGATTGAGATAAGCGAGATATTTAGAGTAAAGTTTGTAAAAAGAATTTATCGACTAACTATTTTGCATTTCCTAAAAACGATGACATTTCTGATGTTGATGCATCACAGGTTCAGAAACTGCTCCCTGAACTAACCTGAATAGTTGAAGACCTTAAAACAAATATGGGAAATTACTTTAAAGACTTCTAACTGTCAATATGGAAAAAGTTCAGTAGAACACGAGGAAAAATTAAACTTTGTGCATGAAGTACAAGAGACCATACAGATAGCTTCTAACATACGTAGAGGTTTGGTTGCTACTCGTTATGAAGGCTACGCCTATTCTACATTTAGAAATATTTGTTACATTTATAACAAGGGATAATGAATAAATATTTGCAAAAAGTTTTCATTTTTAATGAATTAGTTTAAAAAATCAAAAACTTGAACTCCATATTGAAAAAGTTGGATCTGTGATGTAATCGACATATTGTAAAAGTTTTAGTGAACTTAATGACAAATTCTTACAATAATTAACTTATTTTTCTGTTTTATTCTATTAAAATACACATTAATATTGTTTATAAATAAATCTAATTTATTATTTTTAGATATTTAAATTAAGTTAATACAGATATAAATTTAAGTAGATGTTCGAAATGGTATTCAGCAGGAAACAAGAAACCAGAAGCGAAAACCTTAAAAATATAAAAGAAATTGGTTTCGATATCAATCATTTGATTTAAATAGGTTATCAGAGTGTATTAAATTACAAAGATTATTCTATTTTGAAAACAATAAAATATTCTTTTTATTGAAAGAGGTTAATCTAAGTTTGGATTTCAATTCGAATTTACATGACGATTTTCCATTCTAGATCAATGTTCTCCACCCAAGTATTGAGGTAACTAACCCAGAAAGCAGTCAACTATTATTGGGGTTAGTTAATACATTTTTTAAATTTTATTATTATAATTCTTAACTAAAAATAACTAAAAACCCAACACCTTATTAATCCAGCAATATTTAATAAGATGATAATAACGTTTTCGACTGTTTTAAACCGCCTTCATCAGTTAAACTATTTCAAACTAAAAGAATGCTAAAAATAGAACACAAGCTTTTAAAAACTCAAATTCCAACATAAAATGCAGTCGTATAACAAAAACGTACAAAAATTGCGCATACGATTCTTATCGGAATAAAAATAAAATAAAAATACACATAATCAAATTTTTTGCCGCAATAATGCCTATTATAAGTTTACCATTATGCGCTATGGTAAAATGATNATTATTATAATTCTTAACTAGTTCTAATGTAATACATTTTTTAAAGAAAGATTTACAATATACAAATGCTATTTTTAATTAAAACATTTAATTAAAAATGCACTCCTATTCCAAAAACGAGTAGAGTTTTTGTAGTAGAGTTTATTAAAATACACTCCTAGGTTTTTTGCGAAATATTAAACTTAATTTTACACATCAAATTTCATGCTTTGATTATTTTATCTAATAAAATAATCAGCAAAAATTTTATATATATAATAAAATATTAAAAAATATATTTTATCAGATGTATTATACTTTATCTTAAATTCGAAAAAAATTATTTGAAATTCAAAAAGAATGATATGTTTTTCTTCAAACTTCGATTCTTTAGCTTAGTATTTAAATTTTATTATAAAGAAGTTAATTTATATGCTTAATATACTTAATAATATTTAATTCCTTCCTTTTTTTAGCATCATATATAAAAAATTTTAAGCTATTTTTAAAGGAAACTTAGTTTTAGTTTACGAGATGCATTTGACACGCTTGTTACCTAACTCAAACAAGATACTCAACTTATTGCAAGGAAACCGGATATGTAACGAACGAAAATAATAATTTACAGGGGTTTTTTTTACATCTCACACCGTGTATAGGTCTTACAGAAAAATTAATGTGAAGCTATTCAAGACTGTGGCGAATGAATATTTCATTGAATTTTTTATGAGCATAAAAAACAAATATTTATTATAAGAAGAATTAATAAAGTGTATTTATTAACAGAATAATGAAATAATTTATTTTTAATGAGAGAAATATGTAAAAAGCAGCAACATTCTTTCAATAACAATGGGGAGAGAAAGGCTCAACCGTGCCTAATGGCTAAACAAAATGGCTACAAGCATTAATTACGATTAATTTCGTTAATGTTCCTTCTATATTATTTAAAGTTCAATGACATTTATTGTTAATTAAGTTCTAAAATTGCAATATATCTTAACGCTATCGCTATATAAGAGTATTTAAACTGCATACTTATTATACGATGCAAGTTGATTATATAGCAAATTTAATTATTAATACTTCAAAAATATATTATTTAATTCTTGTATTTTAATTTTAAAATACCAATTATTGTTAAATTTAAATGCATAAAGAGTTATCTTGTAACTGAACGTCTGTATTACATCATATAATAAAATGTAAGCCAGACAATCGGGTTAGTTGAATAACTGGAATTCCAAGATTCGAAGAACTTTAGCCTGTAGCAATTTAGTCTGGTTCGAGACGTCTTTAATTTTTATTTCAATTTTGAAATTACTTTCTGGAGCAGTCTATTGTAAAAATTCAAAATAAAAAAGTTATAATATTGTTAAAAAGTTGAATAGGTTAGGTTAAAAATAAAAACAAAAAATTTAATTTAAAGGACTATTTTAAATTTAAAAAAAGCAATTAAAATATTGTTAAAATACATGTCTAATTTATACTCTGAAAGAAAATGTAGAAATTTTTAATGTTTTTAATATTAAGTAATTATAACATATACACTCAAACTTCGATCTAGCGTCACTATTAGTTAGCCTCTAAAACTGACACTAAATCGAGTGTAGCACTAAACTGAAGTACTTCAAACAATCAGAATTATGTATAATAATAATAATAATAATAATCAGGGCCGTGAAGAACGATTATGATCTTGCAGCTAGGGTCTCCTGGGCCTCTCTCTCCCTTCTGAAACGATACTCGTAGTTTATTTATTACATTTTTTTTTGTGCATTCAAAATTACATAAATTAATTGTTTTGACTTTATAATTAAAATTTTATTATACATATTCTGGCCGGGATACAGACCTAGCCAGAATCTTTATAATAAATCGTCAGTCCTGATAACAAGGTCTACGCACAGATTTGAGTTAAAAACACATAAAAAATGCATACACAAGAAATTAAAATTTTATATTTTAAAATTAAAATTTAAACCAGGAAATTTTATTTTAAAAATTATTAATTTTTAAAAAAAATAAAATCTATAAAACTTTATTTTATTAAAAAATTTTTACATTTTATTTATATTTTTTAAAATAAGTGCTTTATTTATAAAACTTTGCACTAACTCCCGTTAAAAAGACATAACAACATGTTAGAGCGGAAGTGGATTCTTGAGAGGTTCAAGGACTAAGTCAAGAGTATAGAATTGCTCTCCCTTGTGGACACTTTATGAACTAATTTATTTTTGTTGTTAGTATTCCCTTTTAAAATTATATTCTAAATTTATAATGTGATTCAGCTTCTTTGTTTCTACGAGGTTATTCAACCTGATTGGTTCACGTTTACGTGAAAAGTAAGGTATTATCCCTCTTTCAACTGTTGACAGGCATTAATTTGCGTATTATAAATGAAGTATATTTATTAAAATATATAATTAAGTAATCACATGATGCAGAAGAAGAATAAAATAGGCTAATATGTAAAAAATTGGTAACATTGTTCATGTTTAAGCAGGGGAATTGTTTATCATAACAAGTCGAAAAATATGTTATAAATAACAGGATGTGCACCCAACGTTAAATCTTGTAGAAAGTCATACATAAATAATAACAGATTAATAACTAGATTAATATTTTTTATATAAAGCACTTATTACGATGCTAAAAATACATTTTTATAAAATAGGTCATAAATTTAATGCTTCACATCTTTTTACTTCCAGCTTTATATCGGGCTAAAGAACTTTAAAAGACTATTAAATACGCTACGCGTCATAATACTTTTATTTTCAGTTTTACACATGCGAAAAACTTTAATAATGTGAATGAATGTATATGTTATGCACTTTCGATCTAAAAATATTACTAATTATAAGAATTAATAAGGTAAATTCGTCAATAAAATGTAGATAATTATATGTTAAGCCGAAAATATGCTTAGATAAAAAATATATAAGCTAAATAATACGCTATATTTGTAAATAAATGCCATTTTTTGAAAAATAAAGACTTAAAATCGTGTTTACACTTTATAAATAAATGCCCCATTGAAAAAAATGCTTAAAAATTCCTATTTTTTATAATACGCACTTAAAAATACCTGAATTAAATGTCTGTTTTTTAAATAAAAAAATAAGTGTCTAAAATGCCAATTAAAAAAGAATAAATTATTATAATAACTATTTTATAAAAGTACCAAAAAACCACCGGCATTTTAAAAATAAATAGATTAAAACATGCGTAAATTTTAAAAATAAATGTAGTAAGATCAATAAAGTGCAAACTATTTCATAATCACTGTCAATACAAAACAGCCATAATAAAAAAGTAGGCAGCTGGTTCTTTGTCTGTTAACTCTTAACATGACGTCACATATGTGGAAAGGAAATTCGGTAAAGTTTTTATAGATGAAGAATGAGTTAAGTTAACAAGTGAAACAGCTGCACCAGTTATTACGTTCATTCTTTCAATTGCTTCTTAGAAAAAGTTTTTGCTTTAAAGCGATGTCTGGAAATTGTTTACAACGAACAATTTACAAACGTGTTCTGAATATAATTACTTATCCTTTTAATTCTCTTACTCTACTTAAGTTTATTACACCCTCTATTTATAGTATTGTCAAGACACTCAGTTCATTTCATTCAAATAAATATTCTATTTTTAAGACTTTCTTAAAAGAGAATCTTGTTAATCAGATAATACTAATTTAATTTGTCATTTATATACTTGTTTATTGTGAAATTAAAATAAAATGTGGCTCGAAAGTTAGTTAACCATTGTAAGTTTATTTCTCCCAACCAGTTTCTACACTTACTAATTGATGATAATTTACATGGGGAATTAAAAGTCGGCTTATCGTTGTAAAGCCTAAATTGCTGACTTATTCCAATACTTTATAAACTTTACGAAAGTTATAGAATCAATTGCAATAAATTATGGTTACCTGAATTATGGGCCGCACTTTGTATTAACGTTATTTGTCGTGTTATGTGTATAAATTCCATGAAACGCTTCACTTTTTGATCAAAATTTTCAAATAATCCTAGAAAAAAAATTCGTCAAATTATTCTATATCCATTAAAAATAACATGGTTTTATCACAAATTTAATTAGGGATATCTTTCTGAGATTGATCGAGATATCAGTTTTCTGTTTGCTAACGGGTTCATCTGATTTAAAAGGCGTGGTTGCTATACTAGTGGTTTTCTAGTTAATCAAGAAGATTGATTAACGTTTATGTGGGTTGTAGCTCAAGCAGTTTACTATATGATATATTTATAAAGAAAAAGAAAACCTTTTAAAACGCCCAGATTTAACTAATAAAAGTTTTCAGTTGCCGGTACTTCTGAAGAACACGTAGAGGTTTCGAGAATCAACTGAATCCATAATCTAAGAACCACGTATATTTGAAAATTCAAAGGATAAGTTTGTGTCTTTTCTTTGTTCGAGATCTTTTTAGAATAAAAAAAAATTATGCCCATCTTATAGCATTAATTATTGTGTAATTATATAGGGAAAAGAAACCTTTAAAGTTTAAGGTTTTTCTACATACTTACACCGTAACTATGATTATTACAGGGGCACAGTTTATTCTAGAAATAGCTAGAATAGAAAATGCTGGCCTATTCCAGATTAATTAAGGAAATTTCAGGACTTAGACAAAAATTAAGATCGGGC